ACAAAATGTTATTTTTGCAGTTCATAGTTGATCTATCTACTGTTCGGGCTTGTATGCTTCTTTGCTTTGTTTTGCCGTTTGATCGCCTTAATCATAAGAATTTTGATTTTGGCCATTGTCGGGACCGGTAGGCATTAATTCGAACAAGGTCGAATATCAGTTAATTCGAACAAGGTCGAATATGTTAATTCGAGTGAGGCCGGATATGTAAATTCGAGCGAGGTCGAATGTCGCTTTAGTTAATTCAAACGAGGTCGAATGTCGCTTTAGTTAATTCAGACGAGGTTGAATATATTAATTCGAGCGGGGTTGAATGTAATTTATTTCGAGCGAGGTCGAATGTTATTTAATTCAAACGAGGTCGAATGTAAGTCAATTCGAGCGAGGTCGAATGTTATTTAATTCGAACAAGGTCAAATGTAATTTAGTTCGAACGAGGTCGAATGTAATTTAACCCGAACAAGGCGAATTGTTAATTCGAGCGAGGTCGAATGTTATTTAATTCGAATGAGGTCGAATATATTTAAATTTGAATGAGGTCGAATATGTAAGTTAATTCAAGTGAGGTCGAATGTTATTTAATTCGAACGAGGTCGAATGTAAGTTAATTCGAACGAGGTCGAATGTAAGTTAATTCGAATGAGGTCGAATGTTATTTAATTCGAGCGAGGTTGAATGTAAGTTAATTCGAGCGAGGTCGAATGTTATTTAATTCAAACAAGGTCAAATGTTATTTAATTTGAATGAGGTCGAATGTAAGTTAACTTGAGCGAGGTCGAGTGTAACTTTGCTTGATTGATGCAGCGTTGCTTTGGCAAAAAAATGGGTGAACTTCATGCGCTTGTGATTTGCTTATATATGTTGGAGAAATTTACATGTTTTCTGGGCTGATATTCCAGTCCCAGTCTATCTAGTCTCTTCATTGGTCGACCTGGAGAAGTACTGAGAGGTTGGGCAATGAACCAATCGACCTGTGTCCTCATCTGTTCGTACTTTAGCCTGAAACGTCCTCTTTGTCGCCTAATTAGAAACCTTCCCAAGAAAACCCAATTGGGACCAAACTCAGGTGAGGCAAAAAAAAGTACGACTCGGAGAACATTTTTCCTTAGAAGTTAAAGTACTTGAGGTGGGCGACGATCTAGTTGTTTGGTAGTAGTTTTTCTTCCATTGTTTCTAGTCAAAATGAACCTTTGTTTACTGCTGCTGTGGTTTTGTATGGGCCGTCCTAATTTGTTCCCAATTTGCCCTCTCGCGGGTCTTTGCTTGCTTGTGTTTTGGCCTTAAGCACGTAGTCCCTGACTTTGAGTGGTCTGACCTTGGCTTTTTTGTTATAGGTTTTGCCTGTTATTTTTGGGCAATCATCCTTATGTAGGCCATATCTCTCCGTTCTTCGGCTTTGTCGAGGTCCTGCCCTCTGCTTTCGTCATTCCTCGACCCGCTCCCATGAGAGTATCTCAAACTTAGTTCTCCGACCTCGACTGGTATTACTGCATCAGTCCAATAGACTAATGAGTAGGGTGTCTCTCCTATGCTCGTGTTTGGCGTTGTGCGGTATGCCCATAGCACTTCTGGTAGTAGCTCTGGCCATAGTCTGTTGGTGTTCACGAGCTTTTTCTTCATGATGTTTAGTATAGATTTATTGGAGGACTCCGTTTGCCATTGCACGCGGGATGGTATGGGGTGGAGAGTATTCTTTTGATATGCCACTTCTCGAAGAACTCGGCGATCTTTTTTTCGGTGAATTGGGGTCCGTTGTGACAACTGATCTCTTTGGGGAGGCCGAAGTGGCACACAATATTTTTCCATATGAAGGTGATCACTTCTTGTTCGCGTATCTGGGTAAATGCTCCTTCTTCTACCCACTTAGAAAAATAGTCAGTTGAACCCAAAAGAAATAGTACGTTACCTCGCCCCGCAAGGAGGGGGCCGACGATGTCCATTCCCCACTTGATGAAAGGCCGAGGGGAGGTGACAGAGTGGAGGTGCTCGCCCGCTTAGTGGATCATAGGGGCATATTTTTGGCATTGCTCGCATTTTCTCACGAAGTCGGCGACCTCTTTTTTCATGGTGGGCCAGTAGTAGCATGCTCGTATGAGACATCTGACCAGAGCTCGATTGTCGGAATGAGCTCCGCAATGGCCTTCGTGGTCTTCTTCTATAATGCGTCGTGTTTTATTTGGGCCTAAGCATTTTGCTAGGGGGCCGCCATACGTTCTTTTACACTGGTCGCTGTCGATGATAATGTACCTGGCCGCTTGTATTCGAAGCTTCTTGGCTTCTTTTTTATCGTTGGGAGCATGTCGTCCTGCAAGTATGTAACAATACGGTTGCACCAGTCCCAAGTTAGGTTTATAGTCCTTACCTCGATTTGATCAATCGATGAGTGGAGGAGGGTGACCATGTTTCCTTCTCCGGTTATGCTTTTAGTGGCCGCCGCTAATTTGGCGAGGCCGTCTGCTTTGATATTTTACGCTCGAGGGACATTCATCAAATTCAGGCAGCAGCTTGCAAATCTTGGTCTGGTATTTTTGCAACCCTTCGGTCTTTGATCTGGAAAGTCCCTGTGACTTGGTTGACGATGAGTTGAGAGTCGCAGCATAGGATGACCCGCCTCGCTCCGTACTTGAGTGCCAACCTTAATCCTGCAATCACGGCCTCATACTCGGTCTCATTATTAGTCATGTTCGGACATCTTATGGACTGGATAATTACTTTGCCTGTCGGGACCTCGAGTACGAGTCCTAGTCCGAACTCTGATGCATCAGAGGCACCATCGGTGTACAAAATCCATATATCCTGTATTTGTGGAGAAGCATGGGCGGCTTCTCTTTCGACTTGGGGCATTATTTTTGCGGTGAAGTCAACGACGAAATCCACAAGTACTTGCGACTTTATCGTCGTCCGCGATTGATATGTGATATCATGTTCGCTTAATTCTATGGCCCATTTGGCCAATCTGCCCAATGGCTCGGGCTTGTGCAAAATAATTCTTTAAGGGAAAAGTCATGACAATCGAGATGGGGTGGCACTAGAAGTAGGGTCTAAGCTTTCGTGAAGCTAGGACCAAGGCCAAGGCTAATTTTTCGAGGTGGGGGTACCTCGTTTCGGTGTCGACTAAAGTTTTTCTAATGTAATAGATGGGGGATTGCGTAACTTTATTTTCTCAGACCAGGACTGCACTCACTGCCACTTCGGATACGGCCAGGTAGACGAGGAGGTGTTCTCCGGGCTCCGCTTTGGAAAGTAGTGGCGGTGACGATAGGTAAGCCTTTAACTCTTTCAGGGCTTCGATGCACTCGGAGGTCTATTTGAGGCCGTTATCTTTCTTGAGTACGCCAAAAAAACTTGTGGCATTTGTCAGATGACCGCAAGATGAATCTCGACAGGGCGACTATACGGCCGGTCAGTCTCTAAACCTGTTTTTTGTTGGTTAAGTGCTCTGATATCCCCTCTATAGCTTTGATTTGGTCGGGGTTGACCTCGATGCCTCGTTGTGATACTAGGAAACCTAGGAATTTTCCTGAGGTCATGCCGAATGTGCACTTTTCAGGATTCAGTTTCATTCTGTATCGCCTGAGTATATCGAAGGCTTCTTTCAGGTGGTCGATGTGATCGTCTTTCCTTTTGGACTGGGCCAACATATCATCTATGTAGACTTCCATGGTCTTGCCAATTTGATCTTTGAACATTTTGGTGACCAACCGTTGGTATGTCGCCCCTGCATTTTTTAGTCCGAAAGGCATAACTTTGTAGCAGTACGTTCCTTGGTGGGTGATGAAGGTAGTCTTCCCTTGGTCTTCCTCTTCCATGAGGATTTGATTGTAACCCGAGTAAGCATCTAAGAAGCTCAGCAGTTCATGCCCCGCCGTTGTGTCAATAAGCTGGTCGATATGGAGTAACGGGAATAAATCTTTGGGGTATGCCTTGTTTAGATCCGTAAATTCTACACAAATCCGCCATTTTCTATTCTTCTTCTTCACCATGACCACATTGGCCACCCATTGAGGGTATTTTGATTCCCTGATGGAACCATTCTGTAATAATTTTTCAACCTCCTCTCGGACTGCATTGTTTATTGAATGATTGAACTTCTGCCTAACCTGTCTCACTGGGGGGTGAAGCAGGTCGACGTTCAATTTGTGCGTGGCAATCTCTTTTGGGATACCTAACATATCTGCATGGAAAAAAGAGAACAAGTTTGCGTTAGCAATTAGGAATTGACGGTGGTTCCTGAAGTTTGCAGCCGATGTAGGCTATCTTGTTGTAGTCATTGTTGTCCAGTTGGACATGGTCGAGGTCTTCTATAGTTGATCCTGCGGTTTCCAGCATTTCGGGTTCTTTGATGACGTCTTCCTTTTCATCACAGCTCGACCTCGACCCTGTTAATTGCTATGCCTTTTTTGCTTTGCCCTTTATTTGGTAGGTAGTCGCAAAGTCTAAGGCGATGTGGTAGTATTCTCGAGATGTGTGTTGTTCCCCTCGTATGCTGAATATTCCCCAAGGGGTTGAAAATTTGATAATTTGGTATAGGCGGAAGGGATGGCCCTTATGGCGTGTATCCAGGGTCATCCTATTACGGCATTGTATGCCATATCCTGATCCATGATGTAGAACGTAGTTTCCAGGGTGACTTCCGCTGGCCAGGACGGGGAGTGTGATTTCCCCAGATGTTCGTTCAACTGCATTGTTAAAACCAGTTAACGTGATGCAGCATGGCACTACCTTATCCTCGAGTTTCATCTGTGCAAGTACTCAAGGGTGGATAATGCACACACCGCTCCCGTCGTCCACCATAATGCGTCTTACATCTGTATCTAATAATCATAAAGTGATAACAAGGGCATCATAGTAAGGGAAAACCAAACCATGGGTATCCGAATTATCGAAGATGATACTTTCTTCGAGTTCGTCATACCGTTCATCAGTGATCGACCATTTGAGTTTGTGGGTCGTGGTGAACTTTACGCTATTGATCGATGCGTCGTCGCTACCTCCGATGATCATCTGGATGGTGCGGGTGGCGGCCCCTGGTGTCTTTCATGTCCTCGGGCAAAGTTGGCCCTTCTTCGGTCGCTCAACAGCTCTTTCAAGTGCCCTTGGTGAAGCATGTTTGCGACCTCTTGTCTTAGAGCGATGCAGTCCTCGGTTTTATGACCTCGCTCCTGGTGGAATTCGCAGAACGCATTTGACTTCCTCGTGCTTAGGTCGGACCTCATCTTTTGTGGCCACTTCACTTTTGGACCGAGCTTCTCCAACGCGTAGACTATTTCTGAAGGTGAAACACAAAAATTATGAGTAGATAGTAAAGGGGGCATACCTCTCTCGCTCCGGTGAGCCCCTGTCCTTTGCCTAGGTGGACTTTCTTCGTGACGGGAGGGGAGCATGATGGCACCCCTAATATATGGTTGATGCCTTTCTCGGTTAGGTCGTGGAGCTGCTAGATCTCTTCTGGCGTCGTTTCTTCGGTCTTTCTTGGACTCGGCTTGTACCGAGGTTAACCATTGGGTTGGTCCATTTAGGTCGTCTTCGTCGGCACGGACTTTCGCACAATAGGCAATGTGTATTTCATCCCAAGTGGTTGGGGGATATTTCATAAGCCGACTCAGCAACTTTCTGGTCGCCCTCGACCCGTTTCTGATCAGGCCGTTTTGGAAAGCTGCTACAACCATGCCTTCTAATACATTTGGTAAGGTCATCCTCACACGGTTGAATCGAGCGAGAAAGTCCCTCAGTCCCTCTCCAGGTGATTGTTTGATAGAAAATATGTCGTTTACTTCTGCCTCCGCCTTTTTAGCTCCGGCATGGGCCGTTACAAACTTATCAGCCATCTCTTCGAATGTTTAAATAGAGCGCGCAGGCAGCTGTGAACACCAAGTTAATGCTCCCTCGGTGAGGGTTTCACCAAACTTTTTGAACAGGATGGAAGATACTTGTTCTTTGGCGAGATCGTTGACCTTTACCGCGGTGACGTAGTAGGTTACATCATCCTCGGGATCGGTTGTACCGTCATATATTTTCAGGTAGGGCGGCATTTTAAGGTTTTGGGTATGGCATGCGGGGTGGCTTCATCACTGTAAGGTTGTTCCACGAACCGACCCACATCTCTTTTTGGTCAGAGTTTTGGGGTAGCCTGTATTTTGTCTACCCTTTCCTGATGCTCCTTCATTTGGTCTCGCAACATTTTGTTCTCGTTTTCCATTTCTTCCATCTTCCTCAGAATGGCTGTGAGGGTGTCGTCACTTGCATTACTAACATTGTGAGTGATACCTGTTATTATAGGGGGAGGGTCGTGCAGCTCGGCCGTTGTTATTACAACGCGAGTCCTCGCATTGTCTCCGATTGCTTTTTGGGTGGGCATGTCGAGAATGCTGGTCAGCATGCTCGTTAGCCAAGCCTCAAGTAGTTTTTTCACTGCAGGTGGGGCTTCGTCCGTTATGAATGTGGAAGCCCCTTTACCGTGGGATGTTGTGATACTATTAAGAGGGAGGGGTGAACCACTTCGCCTGAGGGAGGCGTCTGGCGTTACATCTTCACCCTCCGTTTCTAAAACCTCGTTGATGGTGTTTAAGAGGTTGGTGGTGAGATCGGCCACTACCTTCATCCTTTCTTCTCTATTACCTGCCATGTTAGATCTGTGTGCACAAGAGGGTAGGGGTTTTGCATGTTTTTTTTGTGCTAGTTATAGATATAGAAGAAACTAAAATTTTAACTAGGAAATTAACACAGACGACGCCAAATTGTTTGACCAAAAAGTGTAGATCTTTGATTAAACTAATTAAATTTATATAATGAAGGGTTAAACCTAGTTAACGATAATGACTTCAGATCTATGACCGGTTAATACGAGTGACGTAGTATGGCGTTGAGAACAGATTAAATCCAACATGTATTTAATGTTTCAAGACCATCAATGAAGAGAGAATGTCAAGAATAAATAGCAATAAATGGCATGAAAGTAAATAAGAAGAATAGTTAACCCAATATTGAATGAGGTGGATGATTCCTCCTTCTGACAGTGATGGATGGAAGACAAATACTAAAATATAGGAATCCTTCTCGGATCTGATGGAAAAGGTGTGGAATAATAGATAATCGAATCTCTTTAGAAAGTAAATGTTTGTATTCTATCTAGAGAGAAAGTCTGTTTTTCATAGAATATTCTTATCAGAGAATATTACATGCCTTTCACCTTATCTCTCTTTCTATTTATATGGGATATATCCCCAATCAACCATAAAAGTACAAGGACAGAGAATATTCAATGGAATATTCTTCTAAAGATCCTATTGTAAAACTAGCCGTTGCTGCTACTCTTGATGCTTGACCTCGACCGCTACCGGCTACTCGGCTATGAGCCCCACTATTTAGGTCTCAACCTCAGCCATATTACTTATCATAACACTACTTCGTGTTAAATCTCTTAAAGGCAAATTTAGACCCATACAGGTTCAAAATTGCTCTTAGACACTAACGGACCGAATATTATATAGGGAATAGGTTTAAATTTGCCTTGTTGCTTTGTGAAAAGTCTAACTTGACCCTTAAAATTGCGAAAAGATATAATTTTACAGGCGAAATAAATAAACAAAAAAATTCACTCATTCACACTGCACATTCCTTTTTCCACTTTAATCACGCCGCCACCGGCCATTCCACCAGTTGCATATCTCCTCCACCATTAACATAGTCATCCACCATGTTACCCAATTCTACCGTCCCTTAACTAATTTACCTTCACAACTCACTACTTCATTTTCACCACCTCCGATCAACAGTTAGCCACCATGTAAACATCGTCGTAGTTAAAACCCACCACTCACCAGCTGAAATCAGTAATTCAGCATGAATTCAAGAGAAATGTGTGAAGAAAGTCCTAAACCTCAATTTAGGTATGAAAATAAAATAGAGAGCATGAGTGGAAAGAAAAAATAATTTTCATTAATCAGAAAACTGTACAAAAAAAATGAGAAAGTTTATTTTACATTTACAATATTCGGGTCGGGTAATGGTTTAAATATTTAAGTGGGCCCCTGTCTCATTGGGCAGGTGCACTACTTCATGGACTCCAACACCTCCCTCCCCCCTCCCCTCTGGAAGGGGAATCCATTCCAAGCTTAGAGATAACGACCTGCTGATTGTTACCCCAAAAAAGAATTAATAAGAATGTCAGTAAGTTGAGAAGTGGTGGAAATGGAACGCGAAGCAATGATCTCAGCCTTCAAAGTATCTCGAACAAAATTGCAATTACTTAATATGCTTAGTTCCCTTATGGAAGACAGAATTCTCGGCAATGTGTATGGCAGATTGGATGTCATAGAAAATATCAATAGTTAAAAGACCTGCCACACCAAGTTCAGCCAAAAGTCTGAGAACCCAAGAGACGTCAGCAACCAGCAATCTTAGTGCCATGTACTCGGCCTCAACAGAGGAAAGAGTAATAGTTGGTTGTTTCTTAGACTTCCAGGAAATGGAATAACTACCAAGAAACATAATAAGGAACAAATATTCTAGAATCAGCACAGCTTGCCCAATCAAAATCACAATTGTCATTGAGAGCAAAGCCTGGAGAGTTACACAATAACAGACCAAGTGAAGGGGTACCAGCCAAGTATCTCAACACACGGTAATCAACATCTAAATGAGGCATTCGTGGGGCACACATATATTGACCCAAATATTGAATAGTAATGATATATCAGTCTAGTGTGCTGTAAGAAATTTAACTTTCCTACCAATCTTCTATACATAGTGGGATCAGTCAACAAATCTCCAACATTAGTTGACAACCTAACACGAGGATCTAGGGGAGATACTATACGAGTAACAGTAGAACAGCGAAATTCAGAAAAAAAAAAGATCCATAAGAAACTTGTTTGATTAACTAGGAACCCATTTGTCTGCTTCATAACCTCAAGCCCAAGAAAAAAATTAATTTCATCAAGATTTTTTATTTTAAACTGATCATCTAAAAACGTTTTTAGATTAGCAATTTTTGATAAATCATCTCCAGTCACCAATATATCATAAATGTAAACTACTACTATAGTCAGGCAACTACCATGCAACTTTCTAAACAAGGAATAGTCATTTACACTAGGTTGAAAACCTTTAAAAAAAGATTTGAAAACAACTTCGATTACCATTATCTGGAGGTCTGTCTAAGACTATGAAGAGATTTATTAATTATACAGGCTAAAGAAGTGGTAGAAATAGAATATTGAACAGTCAAACCAGGTTGTATTTTTAGATACACCTCTTCTTCTAAATCCCCATGCAAAAATGCATTATTAACATCAAATTGAAAAATTATCTAATGTCACTTAGTTGTTATGGACAGTAGACATCCAATAGTGGTCAGTTTGACTACAAGTGAGAAAGTTCCAGTAAAGTTCACCTCTTCATGTTGACTGTCACCTACAATTATTAACCTAGCCTTATATCTCTCAATAAAGCCATCTGGCTTCTGTTTAATCTTGTAAACTCATTTACAAGATATAGCTTTCTTCCCTGAAGGAATAGGCATGATAGTCCTTATGTTATTTGCTTCTAAAGCTTGAAACTCTTTCATCATGGTCTTTTGCCGAGCAAGATTAGACACAACTTGATGATAGAATTGGGGCTCTAACAAGCAATTTGTATTATAAGAGGGAAAAACCTTGGAACATGAGACAAAGGTACATACATAATCACTAAGATAAGTAGGGTTCTTGGAGGGCCTACCAGATCTCCTAAGAGGAGGATTAGCAAGGATGATTATCCAGATCTCCTAATTGGGGCTCTCCAAGGAGGATCAAAAGCAGAGGATAGAGTATCAGGAGTGAGAACAGAAAAAGGGTAAGAAGATGTAGACATAGTAATATTTACAGGGACAGGGGAATGAGGTACTGGATGAAATAAGTAACCAGAAGAAGAAGCATCAAAATAAGGAAATATATGTTCATGGAACACAACATCCCTGGAATGAAAAATAGCTCAAGTGGATAAGTTGAGCAACTTGTAAGCTTTCTTACCAGAACTATATCCAATGAAATCGGATGGAATTATACTGGATTTAAATTTAAGATTTAGGTTCAACAGCAAAACATTAGCAGCCAAAAGTCTTCAAGTGGGTAAAGGGAGGAGAGTGACCATACAACAACTCAAAAGGTGACTTATTTTGAAGCAAGGGAGAAGGAAACCTATGTATGAGGTAAGTAGCAGTCAAGACACACGCATCCCAATATTTGAGAGGTAATTTGGATTAGAAAATGAGTGCCTAGCAGTTTCAAGAAGGTGTTTATGTTTTCTCTCCACTACGTTGTGGTATGTGCGGACGAAGGTCTGGTGAAGAATACCTTGATTAGAGAAGAAGGTTACAGCCTCAGAACTGCCTCCCAAGTCAAAGGCATTATCTGACCTTACAATTTTAGCAGGAAGAGTAAATTAGGTGTTAATCATAATAATAAACGACTTCAAAACAACAAAAGTTGGCTTTAGATGAGAGTACTGAGTCCAAGTGGCCCTGGTAAAGTCATCAACAATAGTCATAAAGTACTTGAAACTACTATGTATTTGAGTGTGGTAAGATCCCCATAAATCTACATGAATTAGTTGGAAAGGAGCAGTAGAATCAATAGAACTTTCAGGAAAGGGTAATCTTTGCTTCCTAGCCATGGGACAAATAGAGCAAATGAAAGATTGTTTCTTAGGCAATTTATTAGAAACAACAACAACAACAACAACAACAACAACAACAACAACCCAGTAGAATCCCACAAGTGGGGTCTGGGGAGGGTAGTGTGTATGCAGACCTTACCCCTATCCCGAAGGGGTAGAGAGGCTGTTTCCG